TTTTTTTTAACTGAATTTATTTTTTTGTTTATTATTATTATTATTATTATTATTATCCTTATTCTTATTATTAATCAACCCTTTTTAGAAAAAATTGAACCATTTTCAGTTACATTAGTTTTTAAAGCGTTTAAAGAAAAAGAATTTATTTACAAATTTTCAAAGATGGAACTTCAATTTGATTACAAGAAGAGATCAAAATGGGTCAATGTTTATAAAAAATTTATTAATTCACCAACTTTTTCTTTTTGGTACGATTCAATGAAAAAAACAGTTATCAGAAAATTCCAAAAACAATGTAGACAAGTCATCTTAACCCAAAATATACCAAAAACAATTAAAACAATGGATGACAACAAGAAAATTCAACTCTTTGGAAAAATATTAAAAAGATACAAACTTTCAATTAAAAGTAATGACAAAGTTATCATTAAAAAATTGAAAAAATATTTAACACAAATAATTAATTCTTTACCAAAAGAATTCCATGAAAATTTAAATTCCCAAATGAAAGATATTTTTCAAGAAAAAAATAATTAATTTTGAATTTTGTTTTTATAGAATGAACAAATTAATTTTTTTAATAATTTTTTTTTTTTTCTATCCTTTCTTTTATAATCATTTTTTATCTAAAATCCATTCCACTCAAAGGAGCCCAGCCAAAAATGAAAAATTCATTTTTTTTGTTTTTAAGAATCAACCAACATAAGATTGTTTGGAAATAAGAGAAATAATAAACTTTAGATGAAAGTCAATATTCATAAAAGAAATACCTTCAGAAAAATATAAATTTTGGAAAAAAAATAAAATGTTAAAAAAATTTTTAGTCCCTTTCATTTGTAAGTATTGTTAAATATTTCTCAATTTCTATAAAATTAAAATTGTTGAAAATAAGATTTTTAAATTGTAAACGTATTGATTTTAAAAAGAAATTACAAAGACTTCACTTTTCTTAAAATTAATTTGGAGTTTCAAAGATCATTTTTTTAAAAATTATTTAAAAAATAAAAAAAAAAATAAAGCAAAAAAAACAAATTTGCTGAAAATAGAAAAAACATAAAAAAAAATTAAAAATTTACTAAAAGAGAAAAAAAAAATTAAGATGATAAAATCTATTTTCAAAGAAATATGCCCAATTCAGAAATCAAACAATTGGGATTAAAGAAACTTATTTTTTTTTTCATTTTTCCACTTTAAAAAAACAAAATTTTTATGAGGATTTTTTTTATAATTTCATTAGCCAAAAAATAATATTGTATGATCTATCAAATTTTTTTAAAAATACTAAATATTCTTGTTGGGTATTTATTAGCTCTTTTCTTTTCTTTTTTCTTTTTTAAATTGAATTATTATTTGTAAAACTGGGTAAAATTTTCAATTTTATTGATTTAAAGTTGACTTTTCAACTGATCCAGAAAAATTAACGAAACTGAAGATTTTTTTTTTGTTGTGATTCGAAAGGGAAAAATCTAGAAAAAAAAAGCACAACTTATTTGTTTGATGAAAGCAGCTTGCTAATGTTATAAGTTCCTTTATTTTTATTTATTTTTTTTTTTAATAGTAAAACCTGTTTAACTTGTTTTTGATAAATGATTTATGAATCCAATTACCCTCATTTTCTTTTCATCAAGAATAATCAAAAGGAAAATGAAAAAAAAAAAAAAAATAGCCTATTAAGTACAACTAGAATAAATTATAAGTTAAAGATGCCGAAAACCATAGAATTAATTTTAAATTCCAAATTCTGTATCATCCAAAGTTTATATATAGACCCCAACTATTAAAGAAATACCAAAAAATAAATTGAAACAAAATTCCGAAGTTAATTTTTTTAAGAATTATTTGAGCTTAATCAGAAAGATTTGCAAAACTATTTTTTTCTCAAAATTATCTTTTTTTAATAATTATCATTTTGATGTTTAATGAATTTATAAATATTTTATTTAGTTTACTTTCATAAAAAATCTAGTTAATGTACCTATTTGTAATTTTCAAATGATAAATGGTAAAAATTAGTATTGATTTTTAAAAAAATCAAGAAGAATTCTAGACAAATATCTCTTCAAATACTAGTTTTGTTGAACTATTTTAAATTAATTTTTTTATCAATTATTTCTTCTTTAAATATTATTTGAAACAATAAGGGATTAAATATAAATAAAATCTTTTTTCAAACAATAGGTTACACATCCCAAATTGTCAATACTATTGTATTTGATCGTTAATAAGATAATTACTTATTGGTGATTTTCATTTTAATTATTCATTTTTTGTTTTTACTTTTTATTTTCGGATATTGAACACTTGGTAAATGAATAAACAAGATAAGAAAAAAAAAAAATTGGAAATAATCTGTTTGTATAAAAATGGAAAAGGTTTACGTTTGATTTCAAATGAACTAGAAATAGGAATTAAGAAAGATCATTATTGGATTGATAAATGAAAACAAAGAAAGTTGAAAATAAAGAAAAAAAAAAAAAAAACAATTCCAACAAAATATCCAGATGAATTACAGTTTTATATTGAAAATAAGACTTTTAAAGAACAAAGGTTTGACGTATAAAGAATTATCAATAAAATGTCGAGAACTTTTTCTCAATTCGACCTGTTCAACCGTTTTTTTTTTTTTTTTGATTTTTTTTCATTCCAATTTACAAAATGAGATTTCTCTTTTCAAATACAGTCAGTTCCACTTGAAGACACAAACTTTCAACAAAATTTAAGGTACAAAAAAATCTCAAATTAAGGCACAATATTTTGAATTTTTTTTTTTACAATTTATTTTATTAGAATCTGAATTTTGTGCCTTATTTTGAAATTTTAATTGTGCCTTAAATTTCGTTGAAAGTTTGTGTCTTAAAAGTGGAACCGACTGTAAAAGGTAAGATCAATTTGTAAATTATTGAATTTTAATCATTACTTTTTTATTGTTTTTTTATCGGTTTTATATATTCTTTTGAGTGTTTTTTTATGTTTTAAAGAGTTTCTAAAATTTTATAATTATATTACAATTAATTTGATTCAGATATGAATAATTCATGAAATTTTATGTTCCCTTTTTATTTTAAAAAAGAGTTTAGTTTATCTTTTGAAAGAGATATTTTTAAATAATTGTTATTGTAAAATAGGGGTATTCAAAAACTATTTTTTTAAATAATAATAATCTTATACAAAAAAGATAATTTTGAGAAAAAAATATTTTTTACAAAAATAACCTAATCTGTAGGAAAAAAAAATAATAAAGCCAAAAAATCAAATTCTATTTCACCAAAATGATGAAATTGACAGAAAAAAAATTGTATTCATAAATTTGTTGAAATTTTATTAATAATTGTTGATTGGTCAAATGATTAGATACGTTAAGCTAAGAGTATTCATTTTTTTCAGTAATGATTCATTGAAAATAATCTCCTAGTCGAATGAAAGGGATTAAGTAACTGTAAAAACAAAATGAAAACAAATGAGAAAAGACAAAAAATAATAAATTTTTTTTCAAAATTCAAAATTATGTGAAATTTTATTATCAGTATAACAAATATCAATTCATTAGTATTTTATCAAACTGAAGGAAATATATGCTCTTTTTCAGTTAAAGGGGTCCAATTTTATTGAAAAAATAGAATACATTCTATGAATTTAATTCATTATTCTTCTCGTAATAAAATTTAAATTTTTAGATCACAATCATTTTTTCTTATTTTAAAATTTTTTTTTGTTTTGTGATTTTTACTCTTTTTTTTTCTCTTTTTTATTAAAAATTAAAATTGAAAAAAAATTGTTTGAAATTCAAAATTAACTTTAATAAAAGTTAGACTTTGTATGTTCTTTTAAAATTCATACCTTTACAAGTAAAAAATAATATTGTCAACAATTTTAATTACCTAAAGAAATTAAGAATTGTACACGATACATTACAATGAAAGTAACCCAAATTTTTTTTTTTAAGATTTTTTTTTTGAAATTTATGGTTTATTCAGGCTTTTCTTTAATGACTATCAACTTTAACATGAATTTTATTATTTTTGGTATTTCTAAACAATCTAAGTTTGGTTGATTCTTAAAAATAAATTGAATTTTTCATTTTTGGATTGGCACTTGGGTTGAAATGGTGTTTATTTTCTGGTATTTGTAATTAATAATATTTTTAATGAAAAGTAATCTTTAATTATTATATAAAACTTTGAACTTTTATAAATTTCTAATATTGCCAAAAAATTCGTAACAAAATATTTTTAATGATATACTACAGGTGGACGAAGATGATTTATTCATGTTTAAAAGAGACAATATAAATCTAAAAATATAATTCATAATTGTAATTTATATAATTTCAACAATAATATTTAAATTAACTTTTAAATTTTGCAACTTTAATTTATGAGATCCCGAAATTTATAAAAAATTATATCTTGTATGAGGTGTAGTGTGGCTTTGTTATTTTAATTCTTGAATGACCAGTCTTCAACTTGGTATGGATTTTAATAGTTACTCAAAAATGTAATTTTTCAATAATCACAAAATCTATCAACAAAATAAAATTTCCAATAGAAAAAAATAAATGATCCTTACAAATTTAAAATATTTTTTTACACAATTTGAATGATATAAAAACTTTTCAAGACAATATCTCTTTATTTTAATAGTCTAACACACACGTTAATATAGTTTAAGATAATGGCGATATCATTGGTGTTTTCACTTGATGGTTATATTTTGTTATGAATTAATAGATAATCAAATTTATAGATTTACACAGATGATAATTTTAAATCCAGGAACTAAAAATACATTTTTGAGAAATTATTTCAATTTAGAAAAACATTTTTGGATTTTAAAATATCATATAAAAAATGTTTAATAAAAGTAAAAATATTTATTCTAAAAAAAACATGTATATCGCACAAATTGTTTTTTAAATGTGATTTTGAGAGACTTTATAAAAAATTATTCCTTTAAGATGGTGTGTTAATAAAAAGAGTGTATAAAAAATATAAAAAAATTAGTTCCACAGAGGCTCGAACTCTGGACATCTGCGTTATTAGCACAGCGCTCTGCCGACTGAGCTATGGAACTGTACGAAAAAAAGCTCATTTTAAAATCAAGAATTCTATATTATAGACTTTTCTATTTGTTTAATAAAAACTTTAAAAAAAATAATTGAAAAATCTACTACTTATATGACTAAAACATAACATATTAAGAGACTAATTTTATTTAAAAAGATCTTCACCTTAATCATATAAAGAATTCAAAAAATTAAACACATCACAATCATGAAAAAATTTTTTGAAAAAAACATTAAACATTTGCTAATTAATCACTTTTTAATAACCTCACTTATAATAAACACTCATGGATAATAAAAGATCTTTGATCAAAAATTATTTTTTAAGATATTTAACTATTTAAGTTAGAAAATCGAATTTACCAGACTCTATGAAGATTTTTTTTCAATTTAATAGGAAAAAAGTTGAATATTTTTTTTTACACAGTTAAGAGGTAATAACAGTATATTTTAAAAGTATTTTAAATTTAATAAATATCCGACAAATTGATAACCAATCATTTGGATTATTATGGAATTATTTATTGATATAAATTTAAAAAATTATTTTTTTTTTGATTTTTCCATTAGGTTTTTTTTAATTTTTGAAATAAACAGAAAAATTAAATAAACTTTTGGTTTATTTAAAAAAGTTAAAAAAACATAGGACACGGAATATTTATCATCAGTTATTTTTTTTCTGTATTTGATTTTTTTTAGAAGAGTAGAGTATTTTCAAAACTATTAGATATTATCGGTTCAAAAAAATATCCTAAAGTTGAATTTAAAAAAATTCATTGTGGCATCCCTTTAAAAATTTTTACATCAAAATATACCTTTTTTTACAGACTAGAGACTTTTAAAAATCGTGGTTATACTGACAACAATAAATAGAATATAAGCCTCATGAATTTAGAGTTCTGTAATTTTGATTCTATTACGAATAAAGTCTATTCTTTAAGATGATAGATGTAGGAATGTTGTAGTTTCGTCTAACTTTTTTTTTTACAATTTTATTTTTTCATGCTAGTGATATCCAAATTGAAATACAAAGTAAAAATTATAATTAAAAAAACAGAACTTACTTAGAATTTTAATATTATTTTTCGAAATGAATTATTTTACTATTAAAAGTTTAATTTATATATCTACATTGTTAAAAATTACACAATCCTAAAATTTCTAATTATTTCAAAAAAAATATTTAATACGAAGAAAAAAGAAAACTTTTTGTTTGTGAGAGATGTCTACAAAAATACATTTTCAAAAATAAACAACTAAAATTGAAAATAAATCATTTTAAAAAATTAACATAAAATCAAAAACAATCTACACTAATGATTTTAACATTGAATAATCTAATTTTTTGTTTCAAAACAACAGTTCAAATCAATTTTTTCTTACTTTTTTTGAACAAAAAAATACGAGAAACACAAAATTCACAATTAAATTAAAAATTCTCCAGAAAATAATTTTATAAAACCCTGTAAAATTCAACTTATAACCCTAAAGAAATACTTTTTAATTTTATTTTTTTTTAATCAATAATTAATAATCCAATCTTAATTCTTTAAATAGCTTGTAATAAATTAAAAACTAAACTTTTCAAAAAGATTTAATGTATTAATTCTCATTTTTTAGATATATACAAACAAAAAAAATTAATTTACAGAAATAAAAAAAAAAAAAAAAGAATACAGTCAGTTTCACTTTTAAGGCACAAACTTTCAACGAAATTTAAGGTACAAAAAAATCTCAAATTAAAGTACATTTTTTGGAAATTGTTTTTTTTTTACAATTTATTTTACTAGAATTTGAATTTTGTGCCTTAATTTGAGATTTTTTTTTGTGCCTTAAATTTCGTAGAAAGTTTGTGTCTTAAAAGTGAAACTGACTGTAGATATTATCTAAAAACTAATTTTAAAAAAAAATAATTCATTTTTTATACTCTTGATATTCGAAAAAGAATATTATCTGATCTTTTAAATTTCTTGAGATTTTGTAAAAAAATATTGGAAATAAAACGAATGATATTTTTTTCTGGATCTTCAAGGATTCAATATTTAATTTATAATTCTTGTATTTTTAAAATAAGAAATAAAGTTTAATATTATTTGTTCATAAAAACTCTCAGAAATTACATAAAGTGAGATTTTATTAAAATAAAAATGCATTCCAAAAATTTTCATTTTATATATTTATAAAAATACAATTCCCAAATTTAAAAGATCAGATTTTTAAACTAAAAAATTAAACCGAAAAAATAACTTCTTTTAAAAATGATACCTCATTTCCGTAAAATTGATCAATAAAGTTTAATTATAAAAGTATAATCATACCTTTGTGAAAATAAATACCCTATTACCTTTGGTAGAAAAATAAAAAAAATAAGATTTACAAGTCCCTTAAACATTATTTTGGGTTCAATTAATGACCCTTCTTTAAATAAAAAAGGGGAAAAAATTTGTAACTTAATTTTCATTTTTTATTTAATCATTAGACTTTGGGTTTCAAAAGTCAAAGACTATATGGCAATTTATGATTGCTACTTATGGGCAGGTACTTTTCTGAAAATGTTGAGGTAAGAACTGGGAACCCTAACCAAAGGGCAGTTTACAAAATTAATACGAGGAGAATCATGGAAATTTTATTCTATCCAAAATTAAAACAAGATAATTGTTTGTTTTTGAAAAAGATTGTGTTTCAATTTCAAAATGAGGTTTAACATTGTTCAAGAGCATTAAAAATCAAAGAATATATTTCTGATTGTCTATTTAAATCCAAACTATTTTTTATATATTAAAGTGTTGACTGTAATCAAATTTGAAAAATGTATTTATTGAAAAGTATGAATTCTTTCAACCTAAAGAGTTTTTTTTGGTGTTTAGCAACTTCAAGAAAATCACCGTAAAATCTTGAAACAAACTTTTCAGAACAATAATTAGAGGTGAGAATTTCACTTTTTCAACCAAACTCTGCAAGAAAAAAAAATTTTTTTTTTCACTTCCAATCTTTCTGAATTTTCTCGTCTTTGTCACTATTAGCACCTTGTGGAACATATACTTTTATTATTAATTACTCTTCACAACCATTTCCAAAGATAACAAAAAATCTAATCATTTTTTCGTAATTTCTTTACTTTAAGTGTTATTGGTCTTTCATGTCAAGAAAAGTTAGAACACCAAAAAAATCCCAAAAAAATCACGATTTAAAAAAAACACCAACAACACAAGTAAGTGAACAAAAGCAATTACTTGAGTCTTTAAAATCAGTGGTAAGTTTCCTTTTGTTTTTCCTTTTTTTTTCTTTCTTTTTTAATTTTTCTTAATTCTTTTTTCATTCCTTTTGGTTAATGTGTGCGTTCACCTTGGAACTGTTTCAACACTTTAGGTTAGGAGAAGCGGATTTTATTTGCAACGATCTGTGCAAGACGGAAAATTAAATGACTCAATAAAGCAAGCAGCTGAGATGCTGAATGGTTTACGTTCATCTTCTTTATCACCAAAAAATTATTACGATTTATGTAATTGAATTACTTTGAAACAACAAAACAAAGAACATTATTTCCAAACAGATCATCAAAAAAGATTTTTTACCCATTCCACTCTTTAATTTTTCTTTCATTTTTTTTAATTTTATTTTTCTTTCGTTTTTTTTTCGATTACAAAACACAGATCTCTTTGTTTCTGACGAACTTCGATATTTTGGATTTTTGCTACGAGAAAGTATAAAAAATGAAAAAATAGCTTCTATTATCTATCAAGACGTTCAATTTACTAGTAGAATTATTCCACGTTTATACCTTTTGATTACTGCCGGCGCTGTTGTAATTGAAAACAATCCTAATAAAACAATAGTAAGTTTTCTTTAACAAGATTTTTTTCTTTAAAGGGTAATGAAACTCGCTTAATTTTTTTTTTCTTTTTCATTGGATGGTTAGAATAAACAAAACACTAACAAAAGATCTTTCAATAATAACATCAAGAAATTTTTACAAATAATCTCACAGGCTCTATAAATACTGGTAATAGAACAGTAAATGGGAAAAAATTTTTACTTCAACATCATTTTTTTTTTTTTTTTTTTTTCATTAGAAGAACATCCCAAAGAAATAGATTGAAAGTGAGATTCTCTTTTTGGTTTGGGTCGGGGCTTTTTTATGCTATTGGTTATGGGTTCCACTGGGGGAAAACTCACAATTTTTGAATTTAGAACGAAATTGAAAGAGATGATATTTTATCCATTTTAAATTTCAAATTGACCATGACAAAAAAAAATAGTTCAACAGGTTTGACCATTCTGTAAGAGAATTGTCCAATCGGCAATAATTTCAAAATAGATTTCAAAGTTCTAGTTTTCTAATAGTTTTTTACGTATTTTTCCTTTATTTTAAAACAAAAACCAAGTCCAAAAATTAGACTGATTATTAGTATTAAAAAATAATACGAAAACATCAAATTAAACCAAAAATTTAAGCATGTTCAAATGTCCTAAAATTGTGATTTTAATTGTAAACATTAATAAAGGAAAGTTAATTGAAAATAATTAATTAATGAACTACCGTTGGATAATTACCACTTTTAAATACCTTTAATATACTTTCTTTTGCATTAATGCGACTTTCTTGGTACAGTTGGTTGTTATTTGGAAAAGCCTTTTACAAAACTTAGTTTTTGAATTGGTACATTTTTTTTACTTGAGACAATTTTTTTGCAAAACTTAAAAAGTGTACCAATTAAAAATCTGTGTTGACCGAAAAATGTTTTAAGGGACTAGTCTCTATTATTTTTTTTTTGACCAATTTCTAAATAAGGATTCCTTCTCTCGAAATATGTTTAATATTGAAAATAAACAGAGGTTTTCAAATTTAAGTAATGGGCAAAAAATTTTTCAATATCTATTAAATTTCGGTTTTAAAATTTAATAGAGATTAGTCCCTAAAACAAAAAAGGTAACCAATGGAAAATGAGTTTTGAACCTCAAAATGTTCCAATAAAACTCTCAAGTTGAATTTTACAATCGAGTAAAA